CAACACTTTCCTGCATATCACATTCCAATTCATTGATTTCTACAAATCACTCCCCCTGAATCCTCCACGAGTCTTACTCCCCTTGAATATGGTATTCTCCCATGCATATTACTTTTATCACCTATCAAAAGATTGAAGTGACCATTACCATAATACTCATAGTTAGTAGAACATGCTTTAAAAGAAGTATAAGTCCCATGACACCTTAAATCAGATTTCCTTACCCACACACATCTAGGAAATTTATTTTGCACATTAATCTTTGCTTTAGGTGTCATTCTTGTGAATGCATAACTTGGTGGATTAATGATCATACCTCTTTTTAAAGCATTCAAGTATTTGTAACATCTACGTCTAATACGGCCAGGTAAATTACAATAGTGACAGATAGGAACAAACCTGTCTATTGCTTATCTTGTTACAACAGGCATTGCAACAAACTTCTTGTTTGATTTTACCCGAGCTTTCTTAAAGGACTGCATCATAGTACTTGTGGCTCCTTTCACAAAGAGAGTCTTCCTAGAAATTTCTTGACCCTTGTAGCCAAGGCCTGAATGATCACCCCAAGTTTTTTGTTGTGAGAGTAAGTGATCCAATTTTGTTGTGCCTGAGTTTAGCATCCTTAAATTCTTCTGGGTCTGCTCTAATTTGAGTCTGGTCTCAGCAAGCTTTCTCTGATGCTTTGTTGCCAAGATTACATAATTTGTTGCAGCCTTCTTCAACTCATCTCTTTCCTTTGTTAAGACAACAACTTCATCTTCAAGCGATTTATTTCGTTTGCAAACAATAAGCCATTTGTTGTACATCTTCTTAAAATCCTCTTGAATCTTCCTAAGACTTAGGTCATCATCGTCACTGTCATCTTCAGTTTCATCCTCAAAGTCTGTATCATCAACAACTCCACCAGAGGTTGTTGCAGACGCTGTTGCAACAGACCCTGCAACAACATTAGTAGTGCTAAATAAATTTTTATCCGTGAATTTATTACTTACAGTAAAGGCCACATAATTACTGGTGTGATCATCTGCTTCCTCTTAACTTTCATACGAATCATCACTCCATGTAGACGCCATGGCAACCTTGTTTCTCTTCTTGAGAGTGTTAGCACACTCCGTTTGAACATGTCTGAATCCTTCACATTCTCGGCATTGTATTCCCTTATTTCTTTTCTTCTCTTCAAACCGTTGAGAGTTAAAATTCTTCTTTTGAAAATTTCCGTTCTTTGAATTCTCTCCAAATCTCCCTTTCTTGTTGATATTTCTCAGCATTTTGTTAAACTTTTTGGTGAGTAATGTAAGAGACTCACTCAAGTCCTCATCTTCGTCGGGCTCATCTTTGGTGGACAAATCATCATAATCTGCTTGAAAAGCAATTCATCTACTTTTCTTTTTATCCTTAAAGTTCATCTCAAAGGTTTGAAGATTACCTATGAGTTCATCAAGTCTCATCTTCTCCATGTTTTTTGCTTCTTCAATGGTTGTCACTTTGTAAGCAAAACGTGCCGGAAGTGACCTCAAGGTCTTTTTCACCAATTTGGCGTCAGAATATTTTTCTCCAATGGCGAAGGCTTCATTAGTAATGTCACAAAGCTTTGAGTTGAAATCGGTAATACACTCATCTTCCTCCATACGCAAACGCTCAAAATGGGTTGTGAGGATTTGAGGTTTTGAGGACTTCACAGCATCCGTACCTTCATGTGCAGTTCGAAGAATATCCCACGCTTCTTTAGCGGACTCACATGTGGAAATCAATTTGAATTGATTAACATCCATAGCATTGAAAATGACATTTAATGCTTTTGAATTACTGTTTGCTAGCTTGTCCTCATCATTGGACCATTCCTCTTCTGGCTTAGGGACGGTATTTCCTTTATTGTCTTTAGTTGTTAGATGAGTCCATCTAGTTAAGACAGATTGCCATGCCTTCTCATCAATAGCTTTAATGAAAGCTTTCATGCGAGCCTTCCAATAAGGGTAATTGACACCTTCCAGAAACGATGGTTTGTTCACGAATCCTCCTTCTCTCATGACATCCATTCCTGCAAAATCAACCAGTACACCAGGACCTCACCGAAATACACGTCAGTGACCTGCTCTGATACCAATTGTTGGTACCGGTTTGAGTCTTTTAACACTTTATAAGACAATATGAATAATGCAGAAACATAAAATAAAAGAACACGAGAGAAATGGTATCGCGGTTCGGTAACATCCTACTCCGCGAGGCCACACCCAGATGATGAACAATCAACTAAGAACTCTTTTACAATTCAATTGGACTTAATCTACCCGAGACTCCATCTCAAAGAAGACGCCTATGAACTTGTAATGTCCTAATGGACTTGTACAATGAGACCCGCTCGACTTTTTAACATTGGAATCACTCCAACTAAGTTTTTCTCTCAAAAATACTCAAATCATCTCTCTTGAATATAAGTGCTCACCTCTCACACAACCCAGTAAAACTAATCAAAAGGTGTACCATAAACCGAGAGACTCTTTGAATAAAAATAGGTAGAAAGTTAACGGCTTAACGACCTCTTTAATGAATTCGTTGAACCAAATCTGTTGCAGATTTTTGTTGCAACAATAACTGCAACGTAGCTGTCAAGGTCGACTTTCTCAAAACCAATCTGAATCGATTTGCTTTCAATTCTGAAACCTTTTTGAAACTGATATATGAACCTGGACACATTCTTTGGAGACAGAGGAAGATCATCCAGCCACAAAATCTCCATCAAATATCAATCAAATCACCAATTAACAATTTACCATCTTAGGATCAATAGTTGACTTTTCAAAAATGTAACTGAATTAAGTTTTCAGATTCTTACAGAAACCTTCCATAAAGAGCTTGTCAGCTGCACTTCTATTCTTAAACACAATTAACTAGCCAATTATTCTCAAAATAATGCCAATCATAAAACGATTAGAATCAATACATAATTTGAGAAACAAATCTCAACAAGAATTTTATCGGGTTGCTATTCCCTTTTGCGGACATAGCTAGAGAGCTCTCTTTCTCTCCTTCATTTTCTTTCATTGGGAAGCAAGAAGTTCCCTCTCTTTCATTTTCTCCCCTTTACTTTTAACAAGTACTTGAGCTTGAAGATCCGGCAACTGCCACCCACTATTGAACAGAAAAAATGCCATAAGTGATTTTATATATAGCCAGCGTTACTCTTATAATAATAATAATAATTATTATTATTATTCTAATTATTATTATTATTATTATTATTATTATTATTATTATTATTATTATTATTCTAATTGTTATTGTTATTA